TGAAACTGACTCGCCTCTTTGGCTTCACACTTCTTTGCGGTGGTTGGTGGCTCTGAAAGTGGCAGTTATCACAGGCCTCAGATCTTCGCGGAGTTCACAGCTCAGCCTTGGCTGTGTAAAAACTCTTTCAGTTGCTAAGTTACATTTTTTCCACATCGGGTACACTGAGTGCTGCAGGTCCACCTGCTGTCAGCTACATGGGGATGAAGGAAGGGTCACTTTAGGACAACACCAGCTGGTCCCAGGCTTAAAAGGAGATGAAAGGATTGAAGAAATAACTACTGTCCACTTTATTAGAAACACCTACTTTGTACTTTCACTAACTGGCCAATTTGTTAGAAACATTCACCTTGTGTTTCCACTCACTGGCCACTTTATTAGAAACACCTAGCTTGTACTTCCACTAACTGGCCACTTTATCAGAAACACCTTCCTTATGCTTCCACTAACTGGACACTTTAGTAGAAACACCTACCTTGTACTTCCACTAACTGGCCACTTTATTAGAAACACCTTCCATATGCTTCCACTAACTGGCCACTTTATTAGAAACATCTACCTTGTACTTCCACTGGCCACTTTATTAGAAACACCTACCCTGTGCTTCTACTCACTGGCCACTTCATTGGAAACACCTACCTTGTGTTTCCACCCAGACAGACAGAAAGAGAAAGAGGGAAAGAAATGACAGAGATAGAGGGAAATAGAGAGAGAAGAGAAAGAGTGTGAAAGAAAGAGAATGAGAGAGGGAGAGTGACAGAGAGAAGAGAAGAGGTTAATAAAAGCATAGAATGAGAAGAAGCAGAGAAGAGAAAGAGAATGATAAGAGAGAGAACATCCTGCCTCCACATGACTCCCCAAACCCATTAACAAGTCAGGGAAAAGGAAAAAGATGAAGGATGAGAGGAAAGAGGGAGTGCAGAAAGGAGGAGGAGGAGAGTCCTCAGAGATGTAATCACACTCTCAGAGTGACTGACACTCTCTCTGCTTTAGCGCTGTTCTCCTGCCGAGGCCGAGGCTGAGGCTGAAGCTGAGGCTGTGAAAGTCGTCACGTAATTACTGCAGAAACTGAGTGATTATGCAGAGCAGACGAGTGTTTGTACGGCTCTGTGGAAATCAGCCGTGTGGAGCGAGGGATGAGGAGAGGACGAGGTCAGGGCTGCAGCTGGAGGAGCAGTGACAAACAACCCAAAGCTGAGAAAGTCCTTCTGCTTCAGGGGGCTTTTATTACACACCTGTGCTGAATTACGGCCCACCGGTGTGTCAGCATTTGGTGGGATTTTTGCCGCTGTGCGATAAAGCAGTCGTGATTCTTTAGACTGTCTCAGAAAACCTACACACATTTCATCTCAATGTGAATATGACAGTAGTCTGTAATCAAACCTCGTATCGCTAAAATAGTAACTCTACAGGAGAAGGAAAAACTTTGAATGGAAGTTAATGGAACAGGATTTGTTTCCAAGTTATGTTTCATCACCTCTGTTGCTCCGTTTATCATAAAGGTTTAACACAGTGTAAAGGACAGCTGGCATTTTCTATATATTTGACAATATGCTATAATAGATACAGCTATATGGTTTACTATAACATAAACAAAACTAAAAAGTTATGATTATGATGCGCTCACTCTGTGGGTGATTTTTACATGCAGCTATATGTAAACCCTGCATTCACACAAAGAAAATAATGTTATTAAATTATTAAAAACTAATAACTCATATAGCTGTAACAAAAAGCAGTGCTTTAAAATAAAAAAAATCTTTAAGGTCAAATTTGAGAAAAAAAGAAATGCGATTAATCACTATTAATTACAAAAAATAACATGATTAATCATGATTAATTGTGCAAAATAATGTGATTAATCATGATTAACTGCAGTTATTTCACTAATGACTGTATAAAATGTGATTAATCACAACTATCCAAAATAATGTGATCATAACTATGCAAAATAATTAACATCACAAAATGATTCGATTCATCAGAATTAACTACACAAAAGATGATTATTCATGATTAACTACAAAAAAAGTGATTATCACAATTAACTGCACAAAATGTGAATAATCATGATTAACAATGCAAAATAATGTGATTATTCGTGATTAACTGCTCAAAATAATGTGATTAATCATGATAAGCCATGGAAAATAATGCAATTATAACTAACTACATAATTTAATGAGATTAATTGTGATTCATGGATCATTCAGTAGCCCTTAAACATCAATTCTGGTATTAGTAAATACATTTTTTTTAAATAAATAAACTCTTTTAACTGGCCCATGACGTCTGTGTGTGTTTTGTTTTTAATTATAAGATATAAATAACGACGGTAAAGGTAAAAAAGACAAAGAGTCAGGTTTAAGTTTTAAATAAATTTTTGAAATCCATTTATTTATTTCTGCACCTCAAAACAGACAGGGAATGAGTATATAGGACAGTGGGAATGTACCGGAATCACAACTGCAGCTCAATATTTTTATTTTCCTTTTTCCATTTTTTTCTTTTTTTCCTTTTTTTTGGTGTGAGCTCAGAGAAAGAAAAGGAAAAGAACTTCATACAGTCATAATAATTGCACTTCATAAACCTAGACTGTAGCCAGCTTTCTGCCTCCGACTGAAAAAGAGAAAAAAAACAAAACAAACTCTCTCTCTGTCTCTGTCTCTCTCTCTCTCTCTCTCTCTCTCCCCCTCTCTCTCTCCAGAGTTTAGAAATTCAATTTTCCAGTGAAAGTTGACTGACAAAAGAAATGCTAATTTAGCGACGGGGCTGCAGTGCTGATCCAATTTCTCTCCGTTTCTCCTCTGCTCTTACCCCCCCCACACACAAACCCCCACCCCCCACCCTCCCGCTCTCTGTCCCACGAGGCATTAGTCCTCACAGCTGGAAAAGAGCAGCGCTTTCACGGAGACGTCACAGTCTGAATAAACACCACGGTGTAGAGACCGGCGGCGGGGCCGAGCGAGCTGCTAATACAGTGTGGAGAGAGAGAGGATGGACAGAGCAATAGAGACAGAGAGAGAAGAATGAGAGACAGGAGGATGGAGGGATAGAGAGGACCAAAGGAGAGACAAGAGAAAGAGGATGGAACATCGAGGATTGAAAGAGAACAAAAACATGGAGAGAATAAAACAGGAGGATGGACAGAATAAGGAGAAAAACAAATGGGAAAGGATGGAGGATGGAAAGAGGACAGAGGCTTGAGGATAGGGAAACAAAACAAGATGAATAGAGAAAGAGAATGAAAACAGGAGAAACGACAGAGTGAATAAGGAGAAAGAAGAAGGAGAGACAATAGAGGATTAAGAGAGAGAAGAAGAAGGATGGAGAGAGGGGAAGAGGATGGAAGGTGGAAAAAGAACAAAAAGAACAAAGATGACAAAGAATATGGAGAGAAGAGGGAGAAAGAAGATGGATAGACAATGGATGATGAAGAGAAAGAAAAGATTTAAAAAGAGTACAGAGAAAGAGGATAGAGAGGTGAGGAAGAGCAGGAATAAAGAGAAGGATGGAGAGATGACAAAGAGGAGGATGGATGGAACGATGCAGAAAGGGAATAAAATGGAGGATTGAGAGCATAAAGAAAGGGTGGAGAAATAATGGAGGAAAAAGAGAAAAAAATGGTGGATGGAATAGGAACCAAGAGGAAGATGGAGAAAAAGAATACAGAGGAAGCTGGAGAGACAATGGAGGATGAAGAGAGAGAAGTAGATGGGGAAGAAACCAAGAAGAAGAAGGAGAAAGAGTAAAGAGGAGGATGGAAGAGAGAATAAAGAGAGAAAAAGGATGGAGAGATGATGGAGGAGGAGGAGAGGCAGCAGTTCACACCTTCTCCACCTCCAGAAGAGAAAAAGAAGTCAGAGACTTCTTAGTGTGACTGAGCTTCTGCTTTCATAGCCAATCAGATCACTGGAGAACGATTAACCTGCTTCTCCAACCAATCAGATCAACCCAGAAAGACACACCTGCTCCTCTCAGAAACTTTGGAAGGAAATGCCGTTTCCTGCCAGCTTCAATTCTCAATCACTCGGCTCCACTTTAATTCTTGATTTCCTAACCAGAATATCTGCTCTGGCCTCATCTGTCTGAATACATGTGCTTAACTACAGAAGCAACAGCCTATAAACAACCGCACATCACAGCGTCCAGCGGGATTCAAGTGAAACAAAGGAAGAAGAAGAAATTCTCTAACGTCACACCAAAGAGGCAAAAAATCAGGACCTTAAATATCAGGACATTCTTGATTCTAGATGTTCGAAACACCCATCACTTCAGTAACCGTCTGCTGTACGTACATTTCAAGACTCCAGCGGATTCCAGTGTTAGTAACAAGCCGTGAAGCTCCGGCGTACGGTCCCTTACGAACCAAAGCAGTGATTAGACCTTCGGAATTACAAACAGAGCCAGAAGAGGAAAAAAACAGAAACAACCCATAATTAAACAATAAAAAACTAAGCGTTCGAGACACGTTTTTCCCCTTAGCAGCCAATGCATATCATTTACTACAAATATATAAAACAACAAAAATAAGTTCAAGTTTTTCAAGTTTCATAAATACATCATATTCAAACTACTCGTTTCCAGCTTCCCGATTCTCTCACAAGATTTTTAGCTCCCCAAGCAGTGCAATTTTCAATTATAGCCATAATTATTAATACAATTCATTTATTTTTTGTGTAATTTTACGCAATCTTCAAACAACACTTGAAAGCACTGATCCTGTAGGATTCTTCTGTATTTGTAACATCTGATGTGTAGACATGTAGGGCTGTGTTTGGAGATGTATGTATGATCTGAAGCCCTAAACTTTGGTCCTTTGAGACCATCTTCTTCCACCATATGAAGCCACACGCTTGGTTATAAGCAAGGGAAGCTGCTTCCTCCTCGTACAAAGCGATTATTTTCACCACAAAGTTTAGTCCAGATAACTCGGAGAAAGAAATTAAAAACAAAGCAACAATCGGACAAAAAAACTAAAAATCCCTGTTGGCAGAATCACAGAATCCTCAAATGGAATCCTTTAACATTCTATTTCCCAGCAGAGCATTCTCTCCCAACCATCAGCTCAAATGCACCCCTTGGCTTTCCAGGCAATTGGCCAATGGTGATCCATGTCTTCCCAGTCTGCTAACGGCAAAGTCGCCACACTTAACTACGGAACAATCTTGAACATCCTCTATTTTTGATTGAAAAGATCTCAGATTTCCATCCCTTCACACTGGACCTGCCTAGACGCTTTCCCGGGAATCAGAGTCTGGACTCTATCTGTAAACAGGCAGTCGAATGTGTGCATGTTGATGATCCAGCAGTCGCGGTACTGAGACGGTCTCGTAGCCTTTGCCCAGCATCTGCTCCTTAATGCACGGGGGGTGGATGTCGTTGATCAGGTATTCCAGAGACTGCAGGCTGCTGCTGAGGACCGAAGCGTTGCACAGGCTTTTGCTCGGCAGGCTACAGCACACGCCTCCTGCACTGTCTAAAGGTGGGTGGTGATGATGGTGGTGGTGATGATGAAGGTGATGATGATGATGGGGCGGGAAGCTCAGCTCCCTGTGCCCGGCGGTGGCTGTGGTCCCTGGCAACTCCTGAGGGTTGTAGCAGTCGCTGTCCGGGGTGACCAGGATGCTGTTCCAGGGTGGCCCAAAGTACTGCCCAACTGCAAAATTTCCCTGCATGCCTGCACAGTTCAAAGGGGAAGAGCTCACCTTCTCCAGCCCGCCTCCTCCTCCACTCATGCTGGCTGTCATTGGGTACGCCCGGGAAGAGGAAGATATCTGGGCTCCAGCCACTAGGATACTATTCCCTGGGGCACAGGACTCAGGTGACTTGCTAATCGCCCCTCCCCCACCGCTCCCACCACTGTACATCCTCAGCACGGACTGCTGCTGCTGCTGTTTCTGCCACAAGATGTAGTCCACACCCTCAGAATACACCTTCATCGCATCCCCATTGTGCCCAGGTAGTCCCGTTCCGGAGTATCCCAGGTTACCAATGTAACTCCCTCCGGAGGAACTAGAGGAAACTCCAACTACAGTGGCTCCCTGCTTGCAGGGGCTGGGGTTAGGGGGTGCTGTGGAGACCTGCTGCAGGGCCTGAGCTTGGCAGTGTTGGTTTATCTGGTAGATAATGCTCTGGATGGAGGGCAGGTTGGACTGAGGGGGCAGATTCAGCCCTCCTCTGCCACCAGCCAGGGGAATCACAGACCCAGCCACTGTCACATTTGGAGGCACAGCTAGTGTCTGGCCATGGCAGTGGGCTAAAGTGCTGCTGCTGTTGCTGGGGGGTGGGTAGGGGGCCACCGCTACCTGGGCGGGGGAGAGCTTAGTCCGCCTGCCCTCGGCATTCTTGACCACAGCCTTCGCGGAGGCCACGAACGATGATGATGAAGATGAGGCTGAAGAGGATGAGGAGACTTTGACAATGGCCAGCAGACCCTGGTAGCCCCCCGAATGAAGGTGGGGGTATGGGCTGTAGCGCTGGCCCGTGGTGTCATAGCCGTTCACAGTCCGGTTAAGGTGCTTGTGTTGTGGGACCCTGATGTTGGTGGGGAAGATTTTGATGGACAGTGGGTTATTGGCTGTCTTCTGCGCGTAGGCGTCCAGCTCTGCCGTGCTGGGGTAGCGTGGTGAGTGAACAGGCATGCTCAGTTCACCTGAGAGAAAGAAAGAGAGATATGTTACAGTTATAAATCGGTCCAAGATAAAAGTAGCTCCCTTATTCTGGTCCTGGAGACAACTACCTTGCTTTAACAAACAGTTCTTGAATTGAAGTGGGTGTGTTAGTGTTGCAGTTCTTGTTCTTATTAAGTAGTTATACTCTTCGTAAACACTTCCGGTCTTGGAAACTACTAAGCCTTGACTCAGACTCAATTTGTCCAACTCTTGGTCTCAAATCTAATGGTCTCAACTACAACACCTACAACACCACGGAAAATACTAAACTGCCCAGAGTAGTAACTGACTGGGAACCACTGCGCTACGACAAAGAGCTGTTACATCGATTGTCCTTCAACCATGGTTTCCATTTTTATAGAAGATCACAAATTTCTGGAAAGTGGTGGAATATATATATTTAAAAAGTTTGCAAAAATTGCTACAGGCATTTTACAGTTGTGGCAAGCTGTGTGAATCTGAATGCAGTAAAAAAAGAAACAGATAACTTGTTAGAAGCCTTAATGCTAAATCTGTCTGAAAGTCAAACCAAACTATCTAGATTCGATTTGAGTTCTAGAGCTGTGAGCCGTGGGGAGTTCAGAGCTCCATGAGAAAGAATTCTAGAATGTTCTTTGTGGCTGACGTGGGCTTTTGGTGTGACTTGGTTTGCTTGCACAAGCTAATCCATTAAAAAGAGCCTGCTCTTCGGACCAGACGGCCAGTGCGCATTGGCTCGATTCACAGGAGAGAATGGCTGCTGCGTTATCCATTTTCCATTCAACCCAGTCACAACAGAAAACGTTCAATAATACAATTACCCGCCGACGCATTGTCCTGCACGTGAACGGAATCATACAAACTGCAGGCGATGCTGTTAGCAGCCAGGGACGAGAATTTGATGAACGCTTCATAATCTCCTTCCGTCCATCATCACCCATCTCTTTCTCTCTCTCTTTATCTCTCCCTCTCCTCTCTCTCACTGTAAGTTCATCCTGGACCAAATGGGTGGATCTTTTTTTTTTAAAAAACTCAATCTGTGGAAAGCCTTCACCTTAGGCACTATTAAATCAGTGCTTTGCGAAATTAATTCAGTGCCGCAGAACTGGGTTACCCCCGGAAACCAGCAGAGGGGCGCGCGAGAGAGAAGCGAGAGGGGGGGAGGAAAGCGCTTTTTAATTGCAGTGACACAGTTGAGATTTATAAGTAGCAGCAGCAGCAGTGGGGCTCAGGCTCAGCCAGACGAATTCCTCAATTATTCAATCAGTCCATCGCTAAACGGAGCCACGTCGCTCACTGGCCTCCCACAAACCCCCACAACGACGGCCGTCCGGGAATTCCTAACCGGGTTGCTTTATCTAATGGAAATGAAAAGAAGGGGGGGTGTCGAGGGAGGGTTGCAAACACGACATACCAATGAGCATTTTGTCTCGCAAGGTGATTGAGACATCAGCGGGAAACAGGCACTGATACCACAGATACAGGCATGTGTTAGTTAACAAAAGACTGAACTACAGATAGATTTTTAAAATGGACACATTACCTGGTATGACATTCATGCACAATTACCAATCCACTGTTTCAAAACCCAACAGATTACTACTGCATAAATTACTGTATTCTAGACTACTCTACTGTCGACTACTGATTAAGGACTGTACAGTAGACCACTGTATAAAGGACTGTATTCTAGACTACTGCATTATAGCCTACTGTATAAAGGAACTGCATTTTAGATTATTGCAGACTTCTGATTAAGGATTGTATTGTCAACCACTGTATAAAGGACTGTATTCTAGACTACTCCATAAAGGGCTGTATTCTAGACTGCTGTACAACAGACTGTATTCTAGACTAACTATTGTAGACGACAGCATTATAGACCACTGCACAAAGGACTGTATTCTAGACTGCTGCACAAAGGACTGTAATCTAAACTAACTATTGTAGACGACAGCATTATAGACCACTGCACAAAGGACTGTATTCTAGACTGCTGCACAAAGGACTGTAATCTAAACTAACTATTGTAGATGACAGCATTATAGACCACTGCACAAAGGACTGTATTCTAGACTGCTGCACAAAGGACTGTAATCTAAACTAACTATTGTAGATGACAGCATTATAGACCACTGCACAAAGGACTGTATTCTAGACTGCTGTATAAAGGACTGTATTTCAGACTGCTGTATAAAGGACTGTATTCTAGGCTACTGCAAACTAGACTACTGTATAATGGACTGTATTCTAGACTACTGTATTAAAGACTGTATTCCAGACTACTGTATAAAGGACCTCATTCTAGGCTACTCCATAAAGGGCTGTATTCTAGACTACTGCAAACTAGACTACTGTATAATGGACTGTATTCTAGACTACTGTATTAAAGACTGTATTCCAGACTACTGTATAAAGGACCTCATTCTAGACTACTCCATAAAGGGCTGTATTCTAGACTACTGTATAAAGGACTGTATTCTAGACTGCTGTATAAAGGACTGTATTCTAGGCTACTCCATAAAGGGCTGTATTCTAGACTACTGCAAACTAGACTACTGTATAATGGACTGCATTCTAGACCACTGTATTAAAGACTGTATTCTAGACTGCTGTATAAAGGACTGTGTTTCAGACTGCTGTATAAAGGACTGCATTCTGAACTACTCCATAAAGGAAAATGTTCTAGACTACTGCATTCTAGACCACTGTATAAAGGACTGTGTTCTAGACTGTTGTATAAAGGACTGTGTTCTAGACTCTTGTATAAAGGACTGTGTTCTAGACTGCTGTATAAAGGACTGCATAAAGACCTTTGATAAACTCATCAGAGGGCAAATTGCTAATGGAGAAGCGATTTCCAATGGAAAAACCTCAACTGACAGATGGATCCAAATTTAGTATTAATCTCTGTCCAGGAAATTGTTCTATAGAGTCTGAGTGGTCAGCAAAGATGATGTGGACAGGGAAACACTCGCACAGACTCGCGCACACGCTCTCCCAACACACCCAGCAGAGGCAGCGTTAAACAGCGGAGGTGAAGGGCCGCGGTAAGATTGGATTTAAACGACATTATTCAGGCAATTTCACGGCTGCTTAGCTCGGGCCCAGAAAGGAGCAGCAGGGGCGGAGGCGCAGGGGAAAGCACTTCATTTAGCAGTGATAAATCAACTGCCACAAATGACTTGCAACCTCCTCAAAAATGACATTTTTATGCAAAAGCGTTTAAAAAAAAAAAAGTCTTAAAATTAAACCGGTGCGAACGATGCAGTCAGCAAATGTCAGGGTGCCCTTGAGCTAGTGATGGGAGAGAAGAGCGAGAGGAAGCTGTAATATTCCTGATGTGTCTTTTTAACAGGCCCACACACATTTTAGCATCTATTAATGCTGCCTCAAACGACGGCACAGCTAATTCAGTCTGTGGCGCACATACTTCAAGCCAACGTGTCCTACTCCAGCTGCGACTACAGTGCTTTTCTTTGCTCTAACACAGTTAATTCAACTCAGCAGCTCATTACCAAACCCCTCAAAAGTGGAATAAGTTATTCTGGAGGCAGAAAAAAATGCCATTCGAATGGAACAAGTCACTGGGGACCGCCTGTCAGAGTCACGCTACAAAACAGCCTTTAGTCAGGTTGTAATGTATAATCTCAATAAACAATTTTTCCATCAAGCAACGTAGATCATTAACTGCATGCTAGGAAAGAGGGTACAGTATTGGGGCATGGATGTCAGGAGCTTCAGTCACAGAGACTGATCAGACTGTCCACAACTACATATAAAAGGATATAGTAGGACTGCAGTGCATAAACCCCTCATTACAAAGATGAATGACTTTCTGCAAGTTCAGTGGTATAGGAATCATCGGTGGATCTTTAGAGATGTGGAAAACAAGGATATGGTCAGATGAGTGATCCTTCACCATGTTCTCCACAAGTGGGAGAGTGCATGTGCATCAATAGAACAAGAGAACAGTACAGGCCTAAATGCTTGGCCTCTACAGCAAAGTGGTCCATTAGCATTAGTCCATTAGTGGGCATTCTGCTAGCATGGTTTTGTATCCCCTTGTCCCCAATACAAAGTTATTGTGACTGATCACCTTTATCCAATGATGAATGTAAGATACTCAACATATACACATATGACCATACGCATTAACTGAGTTCTGTATTAATGCATCAAGTTATTAAAAACAAAAACTCCTTATGTAGACAAGAAAAAAACATTATGTTGCTTGGCATCCACAGACTACTGCTAACAAACCACATTTCCTAGTGGAGGGATGGTTTATTGCAATTAATATTAATAACAAATTCAATTATTTTTTGAACACTGGTGTACAGTATTTTATTGTTGCATGTTAGTGTTGTGTAAAAGCCATGGAAGAGGTGAAATAACTATGCTCCACTATTTTAACCCAAAATTAAGCTCCAGTTTGAAGCCTGTCTGAAAACCAGACTGTTCTGTATCAATCTTATTTCACCCAGTTCCTGAAGTCCTCCAAACAGCTTCCAAACCAACTGAGCCAGGTAATCAAACCACATAAACAGCCCTACACACACACTGTCTCATGATACTCCCTATGTAAACAGTAAACAATAAATATTTAAAAGAACTCATCACGAACAAAGCAGCAGGCACTGATAGCAGTTGTAGTACACAGACCCACTACACAAAACCCTCCAAACAACACAGACAACAATTTCCCGCTAGACCCTGTCAAGCTGTAAAGAACAGACGTTATAAAAGAACCCGAAAAGATTCAGAAACAGGTTCAGTGAATTTGGTTGGACCAGTTTATTGATTTGCTTAGTTTGCTGAATTGGTCTACTGAAATGGTTCAACTGATCTACTGAACCAGTTTGTAGAGTCAGTTTATGGAACTGATCTACTGAACCAGTTTGTAGAGTCAGTTTATGGAACTGGTCTACTGAAACAGTTTGTAGGCCTACTGAACTGGTTTAGTGAATCGGTTTCTTGAATCAGTACACTGAAACAATTC